CTCGTCGCTTAAATCATTTGCCGCGGTCATTATGTCAAACAATGCTAATTAGCACGTGTTTTGGTCTCCAACTTCGGAAGGCGATTAAATTTCTAAATACTGTTTGTGAAGACGGTGATAATGCTACAACTGTTTACATTCGCTTTCTCATTAAAACCAATATGAACAATATAATAATATGGAGTTGTAATGTCACAACCCTTACCCATGTTTGTAAACGTCAAATTTATATATAGATATTAACACATTCACAATACTTTATATAAACTATTACGACAGAATACACAGCATTACAATATTGCGTACATTAAATATGAAGAATGGTGTCTAATGAATGGAAATATTTATATCAAAATTACATTTCAACACTTGATAGATATAGTATTTTTAAATAGAAATGACCAAAATAAATATATTTCTAAAATAGAACTATTGAGATTACTACAAGTTAAATACTATGAGATTCAGGTTTCATAAATAATTATTACAAATACTGTTAATATTTTGTGCGGCAACATATTAAAAACTAAACTAAATACCGTTAATATTGATAATATTACATTCGCAATGTAGCCAACATACAAAAAATAACAACAAGAATATTAGACAATAAATAAAAATAATTTAGAATATAATATTATTAATCGACATCACAATACTTGATTTTTAATAATGTAACAATATTCTCACAATAACATAATAAAGGTTGGCAATGAATAAACATCTAATACGAAGAGTTTTAAATTTTTATTACAATATTATTATAAGATCTAGTCATCACTTTATAAAGGGAAGATAGTTAAAAAGCTACACGTACTTATTTAAAGTTAATATATTTTCCAAAAAGGGATTAAAATTATTACATAAATCACTCAACAATACAGGTACGATAATAATGCTTTTATTTGCATCTTTTTACGGACTATATACATGCCGTAGCAAAAAAGCAGTGCTTCAGAAATAATACTAAAGAGTCAAACTCTTAGTTTGAACAATAAATTCAAATATATAATTACAACACGTTATATATTGACACTGTTTTATTATAAACTGTCATTTGTTCTGACTATTTTAAATTAAAGGCGCCATAATAGCTCAGCGGTATTATAAAAAATTAACTTAGTATTTAAATAAATATATCAATTTATATAAAATGGTAAATGAAGGTCCATTTGATATTACGACGCCCCCTATTGTTATAACTATTGCTATCTTAATAAATAAGATAAAATAAAATACTAATAATATTATGTAAAATTGTTGTACATACAGGAATGTTCAGAAGTTTCTAATTGATTTAACTTGGAACTAATAGAATAAAATGTACATCTAATGATTGCCATTCGGTATTTTTCAATGATCAATCATTTTCAATTTTCTTAAGGAAATCAGTCTTGAAACTTAGGGAATGGATATTTTATGTACTAACTAGGTGTATATGAGGTAAGTATTATTGATGAAGATTTTTGTGTCTTTAGAATAAAATATCTGTAAATAGATTTCCAGCACTTTTCTAACGTTACTAAAGGTATGTATGTAGAGAAATAAGTATTTAAATTACAAGTCTATTCAGTTTTTCTGCTGACTCTCTACTACACAAGCGGATCTTAACCTCGAGTCGCGACACAAATCAGTTATATAGAGTAACTGATTATTTGTTATTCAAATAGATAAATAGTTTTTTTTTAATAAATAACCGACTCAGCCCAACAGGTTAGTAAACTGAAGTAGCACTGGGCAGGCAATATAGCTTGAATTGCGACCCCTCACTAGATGGTGTGACGAACTAGTAAAACATGCACGTAGCTTAGGACCGTGTTTTGTTGCATTCTTCGGGGGGAAACAATGTTCAACAGTAGATTTGTGCAGGGTTGTAATGATGATGAGATTTTATAATACATTTGTAAGTCCCAACACAATAAATTTTGAAATTTATGGCAATTATTACAGTAATTAAGTCACACCACACTGCAGTGGTCGCGCCATATAAAAAAAAACGTAAATGGTCGCGTGGATTACGTATGTGGTCATAAATAGCTCGCGGCCTAAAAGGCCTATAAAAAAAGCAAAAGCTATTTAGTCCAATTTAAAAAAAGAAGAAAACTGTAAAATATTAACTAAAATTTATTTTTATTTTATTTATGAAACAAGATAACATTTAGTTAACGATAATCATATTTAATAAACGAAAAACATTACACAAACCTTCTTTTTTTATTCAAATAACAATAATTAAAAATCTTTTACATATTAGTATATGAAAATACATTTATTTCAAAAGTGAGATCACGAATTAGTTTACATATTTATTTCTAATCTAATAATTTATTTTTAAACAAAGCGTATTTTACAGTGGATTGCTATTGTAATCCACCGCGACCACTGTAGGGTTAACTAGTATTCACTAGTATCTTAATAATATCCTTTGATACTTGACAGTAATATTGCTTGAATCTGAATTAGTAAAGGGCTGTGAGATTCAAGTTCAGCTGTGTTTAGGGTTTAAAAAGGTTAAGAACCGCTGCACTACACAATATTATGCTAATTTAGCCACGATTCTATGTTTTCGTACAAGATTAATTCTAGCAAATACTATAAAACTTTTTAATTAATAAATATTTGATGGGAAGTAGTAACAATTACCATTAATATGGAATTTTAATGTTATACACCTATTTTTGTCATGCTTATAGATATTCTTATATATTTGGCAGCCAAGCCTTAACATATTTGCTTACATAATATAATATTATGCAATTTTTTTAATTAAATAATTAATATGACAAAATACATTTATTCTACTTCTCATTGCAATATACTGATCAGTTCGCGTACATATACGCATCAAATTTGTTTAAACCTTGTTTAATAGCTTGACAGTTAAACAGGCCAGATTTGACGTTTCACATTAAAGTACTGCTGCAATTTTTATTAAAGAGCCTCACGCACTATTGCGCACCACGGACGAACAGCGAAGAGGTGGGATATTTAGGTTGACTTGACAAGGTCATCATATAATGATTTCTTATATTTACGCGAAGACGACACATTAAATGAAACTAATTTTTATTAATTTTATCGCGTTTAATTTAACTTTATAATTCCCGACGTTGCGGGTTAGCTCGGCTAACTATGACATCGAGACGTCAAACACCTCAGTCCCCTCCAACGGGTGCTGTACAACACCCGAAACGTCGGGAATTAAAAAGATAAGTTAAACGCGATAAAATCCTTTTTTCATTTAAAGATCACCATACCCGCTCTAGTTAAATCTGGTTTATTATTTTTATAACACACTAACACGTAAGAAAAGTTAATAAAAAAACCAATGAAAAAACATCAAGCATTATGCTTAATAATTACGTATAAGAGATCGTCAATTTAAAACTGGACCCCTTCCCTTCCCTTGTGTTCTTTTTTCATTTTTATCACTCTTATCATAACACATATTATAATAAAAATAAAAAATCTACTAAAACACAATAGAAAGGCGCAGATTTAAATACTATGATACGCAATATGGTGCATTTGACTAAATCTACCAAAAATACTAGGGCAGCGCTTGCAGTTTTAAATTAGACCAGCTCATTTATGTGGGAAATCATATTTCACATCGTATATTCTCGTATAATAGCAGGAATTTCAAAACGGTCCTAGATTTAAAAAAGAAACGTCTACTAAACCGGTGTATGAGTTTTGACTTATTCATTTTATGATGGCAATTGCCCCCCCCCCCCCCCCCCCGGCTCTAACGAGATTGGTTAAGCCTATAGAAAAACCAAATGTCTCTTTAAATAATAGTATTTTATTAAATTAAACTCGGTTATTAATCTTTGGCAAAAAATGTCAGTGCTTATTATAACATGACAGAAGCAGTTGTTGAATTGGCAATATTGTGAAACTAATTAAAAATAAATCAATTTACTTCGACCGTTGACTTAAATAATCAATGGAATAAATAAGCCGCAGGAAAGATCCATTATTTTTGATTATAATCATTACGTTAGACATTATAATATACTCAATATTTATAATATAATATTTTAACAATATCATCACGTTAGGTTATGCGCGCGCAATTATATATAGACTGAAAACGAGTCATCACTAAACTTTCCCACAATACCAACACATAGCAGAACTTTAAACAACGTTGTTCTCACTTTTTATTGTCGTAAATGTTATGAACGTTGACGTTGAATATAATCTCCAAATCTTTTTGCTATAAAGCGCTTTTACTCTAGGATTAATCATATACAGATTATGCAGATGCGAATCAGTCAACCACCAAATCAGACCTATTAATTAGTCGCGATAGAATTCAGAATAAAAAAAATACCAAACCTTCCATTGATTTAACTAGAGTCAATGGCTATTAAAAGCCATCAAAACATATTTATTGTTAACCTCACTTTATTATCAATAGGGATTTAAAAATTATGCATTTGTTATAATAAGCTATTGATATAAATGGCACTGACGATGTTAAAATTGAAGTGCTTCGTAAAATTGATTAGGGTACTTTTCCCTTTGAGAATCAGGAAACATTGGTCTTATCTCTGAACACACATAATGGTGAATATATATTTATATATAGGTAATGTCAAGATGAACCGTATTTCTTAAAAATACCATATAGCTAATGAATAATAAGCATAGAATGTGGCGGTGGTGCCTAAAGATTTTATGGAGTCTTCGAAAGTGTTAGACTAAATCGTTATAGAAAGTAAAAATAAATATAAAATAGTAAATTTATGAATTATTCTTCTCACGTCATAAAATATAAAATATAAATGTACCAATATCCAATATGTCTTACAAGTGTAATCTAGGTAAACACCTAGAAAACCATGTATGATTTTTAAAATTTTATTCTTTAATAATCATTTTTTCACGTATTTAAAATACTCAAAAGCATCATATATAATATATTAACAAAAGTAAAAAATCCACCCATTGTCTTAAAACAAAATAAATTGCTCACTTTTAAAACAGACATTTTATGATTTCCTAACCAATAATGAACATGCGCTCAGACCAGTGGAAACTTTGGCAAGTTCGGAGAAGCAAATTGATCTCCGTGCGAAGTCGATCTTCTCGCAGAAGACCTGAAATTGTGAAAAATAAAATTAATAACTATTTTAAACAAATACTGACCCTATTGCATGCCTAGCGCAAAGCGCGTAGGTATGTTCTACTAGCGCCTAAAAGTCAAGATTCCAACGTTTTGTCGCATAAAATCGTATCTAACAATCATATTGAACATATAATTGATATAAAAAGCACATTGTCAGAAAGATAAAAGATTGTTGAACTTATTAATTTCTTTTTTAAATCCATTTGTTTAGGCAGGAAAAATTTACAATAAAAACGTAGTCTTTAACGCGCGCGCTTGGCCTCGATATCAAGGGCACCTTCCCTCTCCCCCGCTCCCCCCCCCCGGCCGCCGGACGCGTCGGCGTGGCACTTCTCGCGAATATAGTAGGATTTTCTTGCGAGCTATACGGACGTATGTTTTCGCGCCTAACTTTGCTAAAGGAACAATCCGCGTAAATCGTTGCAATAACGGTATCGTTATTAGAACGTACTAACTCGGTTAAATTCGCGTGCAACTATCACAGTGATTTACCTCTGAAGGACTACGAGTAGCTGTCCCATTTCGTGACAACCCATTACGAGTGCCTCCAGAAGGGGAAAGTTCCGGGGATACCAGCGCGTGCCTTCTCCCGGACGTCGTTGCGTCATCCAGATCGGTTCCCGTCAACATACCAGCACATACAATTACACATACACTCACAACACTGTCATCAGCCGGGCCGGTCGAGGAGAATCGTCTGCGCTCCTGGGGCAGGTAAGTGCATTTATCCTAGTGACCTTTCCCCTCGTGTGTTCATTAGAAACATTTGACCCTCGGCGTCGGAAAGCCCGACCAGCATCTGCCCGTAGCTCCTTCGTCTATGGGCCGCGAAGGATCCAACTCCTGTTGAGGCAGGGCAGCTGTTGGCCGTATCATTTGGTAGCAGAACGCGGTGCTGGGATCGATTCCCGGTCGATCCACCGACCATAGTATTTGATAAAAATTAAATAATTTGGTGGCAGGAGCGTTGGGTTGATTTTGTGGCTACAATCACGCCCGTCCGTAATACGTAAAATACCTTTTTATTATATACGTAATAATAAAATTCCTTTCTTTGTTAGCTTGCTTTGTTGTTAGCGGGTAAATTTGAAAGGCCACGCCCGGTTCGCGCGCAAGCGGGAGATTGCGTCATGTAGGTAGATGGTTATTTTTACGTAATCGGTTAATTGTCGTTGTCGGATGGTAGTGTGTTACTTATCGAAGGGTTGATTTCCGAGCAAGGCATTTTTGTTGATGTGTATCTTCGTTATGTATCTTTCGTATTGTAAATTGTATTTGAACTAAAGAGTGGTAATTTGTATTTACGTAATTTAAATTAACTTGATTTGATCGTACTAGTATTTGTTATTGTTAATTTGATTTACCTTTTCCTTTGTACTAACTTGTGTTTGATTTAATAATAGCGGTTCTTATTTGTGTACATTCTATCCAACTCGATTTGATAGGAACTGCATTAGTTAGCTGTTAATTTTTTTGTATTTTTTATTTGTTATTGTTGTAATTGTGCTCGAGCCGCGTCGTAATTTGGATTTAGTAGTGATGTCCTCGCCCAAGATGCTAATCCGTTGCCTGCGGACTGAGCTGCGCTGGGCTACCAGCGCACACGCGTTGATAGGCCGACCGGACAGGGTCTACAATCTGAGGAAGAGGCTTGAGCAGGTCGATGCTCGAAGGGCGGCCGTGGAGGAGGCTTACTCTGAGCTCGAGGACTTGGAGGCGGAAAAGGGAGTCCTGGAATCTTGCCGCGCGGACTACGAGCAGTTCCTCGCGCTAACGGACGACCTGATCGAGGCGGGGGCCAAGGATGCGGAGAGGGAGCGCGAAGCTCGGCTGAGTAGCCTTCTCGAGTCCCCGCGGAAGCCGTCTGCTCAGCCAGAGCTGCTAGGACGACTTCCGACGCTGGACCTGCCAAGGTTCTCCGGGGTCCTCTCGGAGTGGATGACCTTCGTCGGCCTGTTTGACAGCCTGGTGGACGCCCGGAGGGACCTGACCCCCTGCCAAAAAATGGGGTACCTCCTGGCTTCACTAGAGGGGGAGGCCCTGAGCGTCGTCGGCCACCTTAAGTTGTCGGACGACGCCTACCAAAACGCCAGGGACCTCCTCGCTGGAAGGTACGCCAACGTCCGGCGGATTGCGGACGATCATGTTCGGAGGCTGCTGAACCTCCCGCTGCTGAAGGACCGGACTAGACTACGTGAAGACAGTGAATCCAGTCGTCGTAGCGTGCAACTCGTTGCGGCGGCTGGATTTACCTGTGGACGAGTGGTCTTTTCTGCTCCTTCATATAGTGCTGTCCCGCCTGCCCCTCGACCTTCGGCTCCATTTTGAGGAGAGGTTCGGAGGGGATGGCGCCTCTTATATGCCCCCCTTTAGGGACCTGCTGCGGTTCCTGGAAGAGCAGTGCAGGCTACTGGAGAACGCAGCAGGCGCCGTCGAGGGCCCCCCGGCCGCCTCCCGAGCGGTGCCCAGGGAAAGGCGGAGTCAGCCGGCCAAGGCGGCGCCCACCCCCCTGAGGCCGAGCGGAGCCCCCGCGGGAGGGCGCCCCCCCGTACCCTCCTATAGTGGCCTAGCGGCCCGGGAGGCGCCTCCCTGCTCCTATTGTCGAGCATCCGACCACCGGCCGGCGTCGTGCCCGAAGTTGTTGCGCAAGCCGGCTAAGGCGAGGCGAACCATCGCCAGGGAGCGCCGCTGGTGCTTCTCGTGCCTGGAGAGGCATTTACAACGAGACTGCCCGCACCAGCGGCCCTGCACGCACTGCCAGGGCAACCACAACGTCCTCTTGTGCCTGTGTGCGCGTGGCTCGTCCTCGCAGGGCCCTGCCAGCCCCCCGATTCCCACGGGCGGGGGCGCCCAGCCACGCCCACTGTCGGGCGACGCTCGGCGCTCACCGGTGGACCACAGCGCCCCTCCTTCTGAGGGGAGTCCCTCCCCCGATCGGTCTGGGAGTCGTTCCCCCAGGGGCGGGGGGGTCTTCACCCCCCCTCCTCGAGTTGATAGTGGATTCGCGGCCACTCAGCGGTCAGCTAGACCTTTCTCACCCCCGTTGGCTGAGTGGCCGCGACTGGAACGCCGCCCGCCCCCCTTTGGCCGGTGCCGGTACTACCGGGTTCCGGAGACTGCGTATCGGCCCCGGGCCTTGGAGCCGAGGATCCCCGAGTTTCCCTCGGTCGGCCCGTTCGGGGAATTCCAGTCGGGGGTCATCGAGACGCCGTCGGAGTGCCGCGCTCGGGGCCCCCGGTTCGGGTGCCGGCCTAACAGAGGCAGCTCCAGATAGGAGGCTGCCGCCCTAGCTCCCGCCATGGCCGCCTACACTGAGCCTATAAGTCGTCAGCAGTCCACCTGTCAAACTGTTCTATTGCCGACAGCCTCAGTGAAGGTTTACAACCCGAGCGGCGACCACTTAACGGTTCGAGCTCTATTGGACTCGGGTTCCCAGCGTAGTGTGGCCTCTACTCGGTTGGTGGGAAGACTGGGGCTCCTCTGGAGCTCTAAATCACGTCCGATGGTAGGTATCGGAGGTGCCGAGCCTCCTGCTCCTAGGGGACAAGCGGAGTTGGTGTTCAGCCCTGACAGCGAACACCTTCGTATTTTAGTCAAGGTAAATGTCCTCGACGACATTGTAGGGTTCCTCCCTAACGTTCGTATAAATGACAGCGCTGTGCGCTGTGCATCGGCTTTGAGACCGGCAGACCCTCGGTGGGCCCAACCTGGGCCGATAGATTTGTTACTGGGGGCCGACACGCTGGGTGCCCTCTTGTTAGGTGAGATACGAGCTCTGCAGCCCGATGGCCTGTCAGCCATTTCCACGATATTTGGGCACAGCTTTTTTGGACCGGTTATGTGGTCTCCTCCCCCTCCGACGGCCGACCCGCTCTCCGTCGTGGGCGTGTCCCTATCGGACGCCGTCCAGCGATTCTGGGACATTGAGGAACCACCCCATGCAGCTCGAGTCGACCCTCTGGACCGTGAGTGTGAGTTGTTCTACCAGAACAATACCGGCCGGCGGGTTGACGGTCGTTTCGTCACTCGCTTACCCTTTCTGGACTCCCGCCCCTCTTTGGGTCAATCCCGTGCTCTGGCCGAGAAGAGGTTGCTTTCCATGGAGCGCCGCATGCGGCGTGACCCAGCCTTTCGCGACAAATATGTCGAGTTCATGCGCGAGTATCAGGAGCTGGGTCACATGTCACCGTCCAACTTCGAATGGCGTTCACATGAGCACTACTTCCTCCCTCACCATGCGGTCTTGAGGACCCCTGAGAGTAAGATTCGGGTAGTCTTTGACGGTTCCGCCCCCACATCAAACGGTGTGTCCCTGAATCAGTGTCTTCACTCGGGTCCTAAACTGATCAAGGACATATCCGACATCCTGACCCAATTCCGTCGACACCAAGTGGTTTTTGTCACGGACATTCGGATGATGTTTCGCCAATCGGTGGTACATCGTGATGACCGCCGATATCAGCTGATATTGTGGCGCGAGAAGCCCAGCGATCCCATACAGGTATTTGAGTTGAACACCACCACATATGGACTCCGGTCCAGCCCGTATATCGCCATGCGAACCCTCCTTGAACTCGCTGAGAGAGAGCGCCTGAGATACGCTCGGGGAGCTTCTATCTTGGAGACTTCGGTCTACATGGACGACATTTGTACGGGCGCTTCCACCGCCGAGGAGGCTCTGGTCTTGCGAGACGAATTAATTGCCATCCTGAAGTCTGGAGGCTATGAGTTGCGCAAGTGGTTGTCGAACTCCCCACACATTTTGAGGGACCTCCCAGGAGAGGATCAACAAGACCCTCATCTGTTCGAGCACCCCGAGAATCCTAATTTGTTGACTGTGCTGGGCATTCAATATCAGCCTGTTCAGGACACCTTCACGTATAGAGTAAAACTTGACCCACCTCCCAAAGCATGGACCAAGCGCTCCGTGCTGTCTACAGTAGCTCGCACCTTCGACCCGAATGGATGGATCACCCCGGTCATCTTTTTGGCTAAGTGCTTTCTTCAAAAGCTCTGGATGTCCGGGTTGGGTTGGGACGAGCCTATTAGCGGGGTCCTCTTGCGAGAGTGGCTCTCCATGCTCTCCTCCCTTCCGGACATCAACCGGGTTTCCATGCCAAGGTGCTTCCTCCCTCCAGGGAAATGCAGGGCTACCCTACATGGGTTTTGCGACGCCTCTGAGAAGGGCTATGCTGCTGTCGTATATTTGCGGACTGTGAGTTCCTCTGGGCATACTGCAGTTCATCTCGTACTCGCCAAAAGCAAGGTTGCCCCCATTAGATCCCGTTTAACTATCCCTAAATTGGAACTGTCCGGAGCCGCTCTTCTCACGCGGCTCCTCAACCACGTTCACTCGTCCTTGAAGCCTGTAATCGACATTACGGACGTCTACGCATGGTCGGACAGTGAGATAGTACTTTGTTGGCTCCGAGCCGCACCTCACAATCTTGAGGTCTTTGTGGCGAACCGCGTGTCTCAAATCCAGAGTTCTGAGACTTCTCTCCACTGGAGACATGTCCCCGGGGAGTTGAATCCCGCCGACTGCGCTTCCCGCGGCTGTGAGGCCCCCGCGCTGGTTGCCCACTCATTGTGGTGGGGTCCCGGTTGGTTATCTGATCCTCAATCCTTCTGGCCCCAGGGTAATTACTCCGAACCTACTGAGTTGCCGGGCCTACGGGCCCGAGTAGGAGTGGGCAAGGATAAGCCCACTCGGGATCTCTCCCTTCTAGAACGGTACAGCTCTCTCGATAAGCTCTTAGGAGTGACTGCTTGGCTGCGCCGCTTTGTCCACAATTCGAGAGATCCGTCCAACCGACTCTCTGATTGCGTTTTGTCCCCTAGCGAGCGTCGGGAAGCCCTGATGCATTGGATCCGTATGGTCCAGACGGAGCATTTTGAGCCCGTTATCGAAAACTTGAAGCGTGGCTCCGTTATCAAGGGCGCTCTGGCCCGCCTGAACCTCTTTCTGGACGACGCTGGGATGCTGCGCGTGGGCGGACGTTTGAAAAACTCTCAACTGCCGTGCGGGGCTCGACACCCATTGCTGCTCCCTAAGGACGGCGCCCTTGTCCGGTTGCTGGTAACCCACCACCATGTTAGGAATGCCCACGCTGGGTGTAACACCCTGTCGGCTATTTTGCAGCGGGAGTTTTGGATTTTGTCTGGCCGGCGCACCATTCGGAGCGTCATCTTTAAGTGCATCCCCTGTTATAAACTGAAGGCCCCCATATCGCAGCCTCTGATGGGTGACTTGCCGCCCGACCGCGTCAGGGCCATCCGACCATTCGCTGGGGTCGGAACAGACTTCGCTGGCCCCTTCCTCGTCAAGTCCTCTAACCTTCGTAACGCGCGTTCATGTAAGGCCTATCTTTGCGTCTTCGTGTGCCTCTCCACTAAAGCCGTTCACTTGGAACTGGTGAGCGCCCTCAGCACGGAAGCCTTCTTGGCCACGCTTGGCCATTTCGTGTCGCGGCGCGGCTTGCCGGACTTGATCCGGTCGGATTGCGGGACGAATTATAAGGGCACGGATAGGTATCTCAAGGAGGTCGTCGAATTTCTGTCCAGCCACCGGACTTATTTAGGAAATGCTATGTCGAAAAGGGGCATCCAGTGGAAATTCGACCCTCCGGCGTGTCCCCACTGGGGCGGTATTTTCGAGGCGGTGGTTAAGGTTGCCAAAACGCATCTCCGTCGCGTTATTGGTGAAGCCATTTTGACATTTGAGGAGCTCGCCACTGTATTCTGTAAAATTGAGGCGGTACTCAACTCTCGGCCCCTCTGTCCCCTCTCCTCTGACCCGAATGATTTGGAGGTTCTAACCCCGGGACACTTCCTGATTGGCCAGCCTCTTAACGCTCTGCCCGAGTATCCCTTCAGGGAAACGAGTGCTTCACGGCTTAGCAGGTTTGCCCTGCTGCAACAGATGACTCAACGCTTTTGGCACCGATGGTCTCTGGAGTACCTACATCTTTTGCAGCAGCGCGTTAAGTGGTCTGACAAGACGGAGCCTCCTCGGGTGGGAGACCTCGTGTTGATTAAAGAACCAAACGCGCTACCTTTGTATTCGCGCCGTGGGCGCATTGTTAAACTGTCGTATGGAACGGATGGGGTGCCTAGAGTGGCCGAGGTTTTGGTCGGAGACTCGGTCTTGCAACGGGCCGTCGCGACCTTGTCCCGTTTGCCAATCTACTCGCGGACTTAATGCCTTATGTCCGGGGCGGGGGGTTGTTTAGGCATGAAAAATTTACAATAAAAACGTAGTCTTTAACGCGCGCGCTTGGCCTCGATATCAAGGGCACCTTCCCTCTCCCCCGCTCCCCCCCCCCCCCCCCCCCGGCCGCCGGACGCGTCGGCGTGGCACTTCTCGCGAATATAGTAGGATTTTCTTGCGAGCTATACGGACGTATGTTTTCGCGCCTAACTTTGCTAAAGGAACAATCCGCGTAAATCGTTGCAATAACGGTATCGTTATTAGAACGTACTAACTCGGTTAAATTCGCGTGCAACTATCACAGTGATTTACCTCTGAAGGACTACGAGTAGCTGTCCCATTTCGTGACAACCCATTACGAGTGCCTCCAGAAGGGGAAAGTTCCGGGGATACCAGCGCGTGCCTTCTCCCGGACGTCGTTGCGTCATCCAGATCGGTTCCCGTCAACATACCAGCACATACAATTACACATACACTCACAACACTGTCATCAGCCGGGCCGGTCGAGGAGAATCGTCTGCGCTCCTGGGGCAGGTAAGTGCATTTATCCTAGTGACCTTTCCCCTCGTGTGTTCATTAGAAACATTTGACCCTCGGCGTCGGAACGCCCGACCAGCATCTGCCCGTAGCTCCTTCGTCTATGGGCCGCGAAGGATCCAACTCCTGTTGAGGCAGGGCAGCTGTTGGCCGTATCACCATTAATGGCTATTTTTACATAAAAATGTGGTTTTAGTGGCTTATGGTGTAGATTTATCAAGTTCTCATGGAGTGGTAAACACAATAACTTTTGAAAATATTAATTGTTTAACTCAATCTATTTTGTAATCTCTTTATCTATCACTACCTGTGCCCCGCGGTTTCACCCGCGTCATCACGTGTTCGAGGTGCGCGACATAATCTAGTTCAAGCATTTTATAACGGCTAAGGTTTAAGCGTCGTTCGCGTGCCCAACCAAGTATTGAATTATTTTAATTTTACATTATCTCTTAAACTATGCGTCCAAATAACATGGTATAAAGAACAAACTTTATCTTCATAAAATTGTCTTGATGATGAAGTAACTTTTGTTCGTAAGGATAAATAAATAGGCCATGCCTAATAATAACGCTCATAAATCACTTTTAAATTTTCAATATTTTTTTGTCACAAAATACCAAATTATGGCTTATGTATAAGAAATAGACATATCGCCCCCTTACAACTAAAACCAATTATCTGACAAATTTTGTGAAAATGAGTTATTAACACCAATCGATGGGGAATTTCAAGCTGCGTCTACTGGTAAAACCAGTTTTCTGATACGACGCATAGTTTAGAACATAAAGAAAGTAAAAACCTATTAAAATGCAATAATTTTCAAAAAAGCTACATAAAAAAACGACTAACCTGTTGTAATGTAAACTTTTTTAAATATCATGCAAGTAAAACCGCGTTTCCTTTTGTAATTTATTTTTGCTGTAGAAATTTATGAATAAACTTAACCAATGATTACAACTAAAACAAAGTAAATAGTTTTAGTTGGTTTCTACATGCCGAGACCGTAAGGCAGTTCTGTGAATATATTCAGCTAAAGTTTGTTATCCCTCTTAAGTCATTTTTACCAGACAATATTAAGACTAATATTTATAACTTGAATAAAATTAAAACCGATTATACTCATTTAAATGTTTTCAACCGTAAAATTTCACGCAAACTTTCTACTAATGCTTCAGGTAAAAGCAAATATCTGCACTTACTTGTTATTGCGTGCCTACAATCGTGCTTAATCGCTTGAAATGTTACTCCGCTAAAAGCTGCTATCGGCCAATAGTCTGTCTCGTTCGCACACGGCGCTCGCGATCTAATTCGTCTGTCATTTAGTCGTTTTGCATTCGCGCGAATTATAGTGTCAAAGTTGAGTGGGTTTTGATGCAGTGCAATTTCTGATATTGAAAGCAGTTTTTGTTTAAGTTTGTGTTGTTTTTTGAATAAGATGAGTTCTCAGAAAGATTTTGTGCATTTAGAAACTGAAGGAATTGAATTACCAAACGGTAAGTAGTGTTATAAAGTTTTGAGGTTATGATTCCACTACAATATATTATTTGATTGTATGATTATAAATGCATCGTATAAGTACTGTGATGAGTTTTGTTCAAAATGAAAGAAATTAATTATTATGTTTATCACAGAAACTGGAGTTCTCGGGCTGCAAATATCTGAAGAAGATGACTATCTTTTATCTCAAGCCTACGATTATTTTATACAACAACCTTTAAATAATCCTGTTGAAATCATCAGTAAAAAAGAAGGTAAGAAGAGGTTTTTACATAAAACTTCGTAACCTCTGTACTGATAAGCAAGTCATTATTTCCTACCGACTTCAAAAAGGAGACGTTACTCAGTTCGACTGTATGTTTTTTTATGTGTAAAATAACCTCATAACTTTTTTCTGGGTGAACCGATTTCGATGTTTTTTTAATTGAAAGCTGTTGCTTCTTACGTGATCCCATATACATTTGATCAAGTTCTGACCAAAAGTTTTTGAGTTATTCTTAATAATTTATATTGAAGTTGGTTGTATAAAATTTTTAAATTTCAATTATATTATTTACCTACGAACAGTATAAAACAGTAGAACTAGTTTCTGTCTATCTGTTTAATGTACGAGGGTGGATTGAAAAGTACCCGGCCTAACACAGATCCATTCAATTCTAAAAATCAAATCTACCCACATTATTTAGTTCAGTTCAGACTAGTTCATTGTGTGAAGTTCGAAACGTGTGCGATAATTAGTTGTGATTTTATAAATTTATTAACAAAGTAATCGGACATAATTTCCGCGAATGGAGTAAATCGAGCAGCGTGCCGTCATTAAGTACCTCCATAAGAAGGGGCTATCATCAAAAGCCATCCATGATGACATGGTCAGTACATTAGGCGATTGTGCTCTGTCATATTCATCCGTCAAAAAATGGATAGCAGAATTTAAGCGTGGTAGAGAGAGTGTGAAAGATGAACCCCGCTCTGGAAGGCCTTCGACGTCAACTACTGACGAAAATATTAAAAAAGTACTTGATTTAATAATGGGAGACCGCAGATTAAAAATTAGAGAGATAGCCGAGATTATAGGCATCTCTTATGAACGAACTCAAAACATCATTGTCAACGAGTTAGGTTTCCACAAGGTGTCTGCGAGGTGGGTTCCGCGACTGCTTTCAGTTGAACAAAAAAGGACGCGATTGACTATTTCACGCGACTGTTTGGAGTTATTTGAAGCCGATGCAGATGATTTTTTGAATCGTTTTGTTACTATGGACGAAACATGGGTTCATTACTGTACACCGGAAACAAAACAACAATCAAAACAGTGGAGAAGACCTGGTTCACCACCCCCTAAAAAGCCTAAGTCGATTTTGTCGGCAAATAAGGTGATGGCTTCAGTATTCTGGGACTCGAAAGGTGTGATTATGATTGATTATCTTGAAAGGGGTCAGAATATAAACTCTGATTACTACTGCACCTTACTCCGTCGTTTACGAGAGGAAATAAAAGAAAAACGTCGAGGAATGCTCAGAAGAAAAGTCCTGTTTCATCAAGATAACGCCCGTGTTCACACGTCAGTACAGTCAATGGCTGAAATTCACAACTGTGGCTTTGAACTGTTACCGCATCCGCCGTATTCACCTGATCTGGCACCATTAGACTTCTTTCTGTTCCCTAACCTAAAAAAGCACTTGGGAGGTCAAACATTTTCGACAAACGACGAGGTCAAAGCAGCTGTAGACGCATATTTTGACTCTAAGGAAGAATCATTTTTTTTCAACGGTCTAAATGCTTGGAAGGGGAGGTGGCAAAAGTGTATTGAACTTGATGGTGATTATGTAGAAAAATAAAAATATAACTGATTTAGTATGTGTTTATTTTCTTGGTTAGGCCGAGTACTTTTCAATCCACCCTCGTATTAAGTGGTTTGTAATCTTTTTCACGGTGAAACTGCTTAACCATCTTAATGAATATTGGCACAGACATTCCTGAGACTTTTAAGACGGACCTAGGTAACTTTTCACTGCTGGAAAATATCTCATTCCCACAGACATGATGCTGAAAGTAAAAGTATTATATTATATTTTGTAAGTTTTTGTAAGTAATTTAGCCTACATATACCTACTAATAAATATTTTTTACAGAATGCTTGAATATAGTTCTTAATGAACCAGAAACAAAAGGCAAGAAGTATAAAAAGAGCAACAGAAATAACCTTGGAGACAATAATATATTATTATTGTCTGAAGAGTGTAAAATTTCAGGTAAAATTTTAAATACGTTATTCATAACTAAATGATTATTATCAATAAGATTTTATTTTGAAGTAAGTTTTTTTTTACAGAAACAAATACTATCTACCATTGCCAGCCAGGTACAAGTAAACAAATGCAACCAGAAACCATGGATGATAGTTTTAAGAGTGCTGTCATATCTGCTGAAACTTTAAATTCTAGAGGTTTTTTTTTTTGGATAACTAAGTGGCTTGATGTAATGTGTTGTGTTCTCACTTTCAGTACGTTCACCTCTAATTGTTTTATTTATATTTACAGAGATTGAAAAACGAGAGGGGAGTGGCGAATTTGATATAGAATCACTCTATGGAGGTGATTTCTCTGATAACGACCCTACATACCACCCAGAAAATCAACAAGCTCCTCCTAGTGACTCAGATGACTCTGAGCTCATAAATTTAGAAGAATTGCTTAATCCAGATTTAGTTTACACAGCTGAAAAAAATAAAAACATTCAACGGCGCAAATGTATACATATGCTATTCGGCAACAAGTCTGAATCTCGTCAAATAGCGGAACTTGTGATGTTTGATATATTTGAACATAGCTGGAAGATTTTGAAGCCGCAATCACGTTGGCGCCAACTGGATCCCGCATCTTGGAAAGTTAACGTCGCAAAAAAACGAAGAGCAGAAGGCTTATCATATGTTACTGGGAAAAAGGTCAGAAACCCGAAAGTTCCTACAATTGTTGACTGTTCTAAATGTAAATACCAATGCTCTAATAATTTTACTGAAAGCGTAAGACAAACTTTATGCAGGTTATACTGGAGTCTTGATTTCGTAGGACGAAAAGCTTTTCTACTGAAGCATGTGAGCGTTATGCCGACGAAAAGACTTTTAAAAGACCGGAAAAGGATAACAGAACGTTCTTTTACCAAAAAGTGTTTTTTTGTAGTTGAAGGACAACAAAAGTATGTCTGTTCTAGATTTTTTTGCAGTACTTTGAGTATTTCGCCTTTTACAGTGAATAATGCTATAAAGCGAACAGATCCATTTGGCTGTTACTTAGAAGATAAAGATCCTCGTGGACGTCAAGAAGCCCCAAATAAAACCCCACCTGAAAAAATTGAAGAAATCAAAAGCCATATAGCTTCTTTCCCGACAATGGAAAGTCACTACACTAGGAAGCAATCGACACGCAAATACTTAAGTGCTGGGTTTTCCTTAGCTAAGATGTATTCTTTGTATGTTAATCAATGCGAAGAACGTAATACAAAACCAGTGTCAGAAATAACTTATAGAAGAATTTTTTCTAGGGAGTTTAACTTGAGTTTTTTCGTTCCCAAGAAAGACCAATGTCTTCTCTGTACTAAATACAATCGTGCAAACGCAGATGAAAAAACAAACTTAGCACAAAACTATGAAGATCACATAAAAAGGAAACAAGCATGCAATACTGAAAAGGCCAAGGATAAGGAGAGAGCAGAAAAAGAACTAAACTTTTTATCAGCAACATTTGATCTTCAAGCTATTTTACAAATTCCGAGTACTAAGGTGGGCCTTCTCTATTATACCAGAAAATTGACTGTTTATAACTTAACCTTATATGAAAGCGCGCTGCCAAACGAAGCATATTGCTTCGTATGGACAGAGGTACACGGCAAAAAAGGTAGCTCGGAAGTTGGCACTATTCTAGCCCATTATTTAACAAATTGCATTCCAGAAAATGTAACAGAGGTTAGTTTGTTCTCCGATACATGCGGGGGACAAAACCGGAATCAGTTCATTGCCGCTTTACTCTTGTGGGTTATCAATCAGAGCAAACAATTACAGATTATTGAGCACAAGTTTTTGGAGTCTGGCCATTCTTACATGGAGGCTGACTCAATGCATAGCTCAATTGAATCTGCGAAAAAACATCGTGATGTGTATTGTTTATCGGACTGGATCAATATATTCAAAGATGCCCGATCAAAAGGCACGTATAAAAAGGGCACCAAGAAGGTGAAGAAAAACAAATACAACGTAAAACAGTTCACGTATTCTGAATTCAAAGATCTGAAACAATTAGCGAGCACTATAATTTTAAACAAGACAACAAACACGGAAGGTCAGAGAATTCAATGGCTTAAGATAAAAAGGATGAAATACATAAAAGGTGATAGAAACATACACTATAACTATGATATGTCAACCAGTTTCAAAACAATGAACGTCACTTGCTCAGGAGCACAACCAAATACATCTGCAACTACTGTATCGGAAAGTCACGGCTATGCGACAAGGCGTAAATCGGAACATCAAGACGTCTGTGAACCTGCGACGTCTTCGACTAGCTGTGAGTTTATATTTCCTTCTTTGCATCAGCTGTACAACAAACCATTGCCCATAACTGTAGCTAAAAAGAAAGATTTATTAAATCTATGCGAAAAGGGTGTTATACCTGAAGAGTACCATGGCTGGTTTCAGTCTTTGGCTACAGATAACAGAACTATTGACCGTTTACCTGAAGCAGCAATTTCTGAAGAGTCTGATTTATCTGACAATGAGTAGTGATTTCACAGAAAATTAACACAAAAAAAAGTTATCCTACGGTTATATCAGTATTATTTTAGTTTTAAGATATAAGTAGTCGGGATTTTCTACTTAGCAAAATAAAGATGTTTCGTGATTTAATTCCTGCTTTTATAATTTTACCTTGTTTCTTTCAGTAAATGATAGTTCGTTTATATTATTATTTCTATTAAAACACACACAAAAGTACAAAATTCTTGCAAATAATTGGATTTCATTCCGTAAATTTGGAAATTTATACAAGTAAAACCAACTAAGTATTCTAAAATCATCAATTTTAACCGCGTTCTTAGTGTTTACATGTTCTAACATTCTTTGAATTATAGTTCTTGGACTAGAGAATCTGAAATAATATCAATAATTACAATTAATGCGATACTTTATAAAATAATAACAGATTAGTAATATTTGTGATATACAGGTAAAACTGATTAAGTGTCTTCCCTTGTCAGCATTTTTTGTATTTTTTTGTAATTTCCAGTGTTTTTGTAGTTATTCATATTTAAATCTAAAAACAGTTTGTCTTTCTTTTACAATTAACTTTCCATCACAAGGATAACTAAATTTTAATACTTATTTATAGCGCCAAACTTTTAAATTGCGGTACTGAAAAGTTAGGTTCATGTCAGATAATTGGTTTTAGTTGTAAGGGGGCGATATGGTATCGCGGACTTTTTTTTAGACGGAGTTAAGGTTTATATTTTTCTAGAACATTGTATTTACGTATCCCTAACGATAACACCAGCGTACGCGGATAAATCATTTCGGGAGTGCTTTTTCTTCTGACTTGCTTAACAAATATCCATATTTAAGGCTAGCTGAGTAATATAGCTTAATGCTAGATAGCCTATACTATTCCACATGAATCTGGCTATAAATATACAAACAGAATTTTTCAAATCGGACTGGTAGTTCCAGAGATTAGCGCGTTTAAACAAACAAAAAAACAAAAAACTCTTCCGCTTTATTATATTAGTATAGATGTGGTAAGCCATGGAATGTAAATGGTAGTTTAATTTTGTTTTGTTTAGTTATAATTAATTTTTTTCGGCTACGAAAAGTCGAAATTTTCAGTGTTTTAGCGGCCTTCTATAAATTTATTTTTTGTAAATAGACTGCGGCAGTCTGACTCAGTGTTGCCAACCGTACGATTTAAATCGTATTCATACGATATTTTTGTCCCTAGTACGATGTTTTCGAAATCGTACGCAAAATATAAGATCTTTTCAAATCTTACAATGTTTATAACAAAATAAAAATGATAATTGATTAAATTCATTTTATCGATATGAAAAATCAATAATTTCAAAATTAAACGAGCTCTAAACTTCTTCTTTGTATTTTTTTATGAACGCATCCAATCCAATAATTTTTTAAACTCTATTCCTCGCGCGGTACAAACGCCTTTATTCGAGTTTGTTTTACGTCATTCTATTTTTTCTAATCCAAATAATATTACACTACGCAGATAATCATATATTAAATATTTTTGTAATATACGGTCGATTGAACTCAGTCCGAGCCCATTTTTTTTTTTTATAAAAAAAATTTGTAGTAATGTATAGTGTCAGATTCTTAAATTTTATATGGTTATACCCTACATGTAAAATTTTGCTTTGACGTTATAATAATATTATTTTTGTATTTTTTACCATTGTTTTGTTGAAATATTGACGTGTACTATCTTTTTTTTTAGTTCTTAGCAAAATAGGATCTTTTCCAGTTTATGGTACGATCTCCTAAAAAACGAGTTGAATGTAAATTCAAGAAAAACAACTTACTTCTGCGTGAATCCCATATCTCTGGTGCCCTTTGACTTACAGGACCCAAATTCAAACACGACCGAGCTACTACCTCAAGGTATCCACATACCAAATTTAAAGTCAATCGGTCCAGTGGAACGGAACTTATCGTGTCAGCATACAGACTAACAGACTGCCAGCTAAAACCATTAACTTCCTTTCAATGCTACGCAGAAGGAAGTTAATAACCCTGGTCTGACTGCCTCACTCAGTTCGGCGTCTACCGCCGTCGTGAGTGGATACTGTATTGGTTCTTTGCAGAGGCTCAAAAAGATCGCTGTACAAATACAAAATATTCCGAAAACCAAGTTTCATACATACTTGATTATTATAATAATCAGAAAAAAAGTACAGAATAAATAATAGTAGTACGTACTAAAAGTATATAGTATGTATATATTTAAGTATACTTAAATACGTCTTGGACTTCATGGAGTTACCCTGAATGATTGTGTGCACTTTTGGATTTTCCAATTTTTTTTAATTGAAGTTTGACATAATATTATTGGAGAATTGGAAATATAATAATAAGGTTATTAGTGAAAACTTGTGAGTATTTAAACTACTTTAAAACATTTACGTATAATCATGTTTTAAATAATTTTTTAATGCGCTTAAGGCATGCTCAATAGGAGTTACCAATAGTTTTTTTTAATATTTTAGTCAACAATTCGACTGTAGTTTTTATATGTCCGTTACGCGATATATTCGTAAATCGTGAACCGATTTTAATTATCTGCCGACTTCAAAAAGGAGACGGTACTCAATTCGATTGTATGTTTTTTTTTTAATGTGAAATTGTGAACCGATTTCGATGATTCTTTTAATTTGAAAGCTGGTGCTTCACATGTGGTCCCATATAAATTTGATTAAGGTCTGACCAATAGTTTTTGAGTTATTCTTATATTTTAATTTTAAATTATTTTTTCTTGATTTTCCAATTTTGCTTCTTTGACTCTTTTTTAATTAATAGGTTAATAGTTCCAGGGTGGTCCTATGTAAATATATAGAATAAATTCCACTCCTGAGGGTGGAAATTTTAGAGATGCAGTTTTTAATAAAACTAATTAGATGTAGATAAAAGTAACAGTCGACATAATGATATCCTATGTTTACGCGAACACTACACATTTAAATGAAACTTGTTTTTACGAATTTTCTCACGTATATTAACTTATTTTATATTTCCGACGTTTCGAGTACTTTGCAGCCCCCATGGTCACGAAGGGAACTGAGGTGATCGACGTCCCAATCTCAAAGTTAACCATGGCTACCTTCAGCTTAAAATTATTAATTTGGTCCGATCTACGCAGAATGAGCTGGGTTTATTCTGGAAAAATAAAATCGATAGTACCTACGTGTACCAAACGACCGGAGTTGTATGAGTTACCACAAATACACAAACCCAATGCTCCACTACGTCCAATAGTGAGCCAAATTGATTCATCAACTAACAGATGGGCTCAAACCTTAGCGAAAATACTCTCATCGCTGGTAAGAATCCTTTGTGTGTGCTCTTGTGTGTCCAAGAGCACACACAAAGGATTCTTACCATTTTGTGAACGAGATCTGAGACCGACATCTGGCAGACAGTGAAACTAGAGTCAGTTTTGATGTTACCTGTTAAAAACTGCATCTCAATTGTAACTAGAAAGCTGGAAGAAAACAACATGGCTGTAGAATATGCATTACTTAGACACTGCCTCACAATTGGCTACCTGCTGTTTGAAGGAAGAGTTCTACATGCAAGTATGTTGTAGCGATGGTCTCATCTGTATCTCCCTTTGTCACCGATATATTCATGGAGGACTTTGAGGAGAAAACTCATCTTACTTCTCCTGTAAATCCTCTAGTCTACAAGCAGTTCGTAGACGATACTTTCACAATTATACCTTTAGATAAATTTACTGCATTTTAAGACCATGTTAACCCCATAAATTCTAAAATTCAGTCTACAATAGAGTAAGAGGTAAACTATTATTTAGCTTTTCTAGATGTATTAGTAATTCAGAATCTTTATAAAACCTTGATTCCCACTGTGTATAAAAGAAAGACCCACACCAACAGATATTTGAATGGTGATTCTCAAGGTCATCCTTCACAGTTCGCCATCGTGGGAAATCTTTATTTTAGAAAGCACAAGGGCGGACAGCTCATTGGCGCAGTGGCTTTTTGCTACACTGAGGGCCGCGGTTTCGAATCCCGCACGGAACAAGTATTTGTATGGCCTGCAAATAATTGTTCCGGGTCTGGATGTTTGTCCTTGTGCAATTTGTGTTTGTAAACTGCCTCCATGATACGGGAGAAAATCCTAGTGTGGGGGTAACGTCTTTTAAAACCAAACGATAAAACGACAAGGGACCTGTGACAGTAAACACCTGGCTGCCGAGCTCCAAGACGTAAATTTTTACGTGGTAGAGTCATTACGTGATGTATATTATGGTTGTAGCAAGAATGGTTAGGCTCGACCGAAGAAGATCAGAATACTAGCGTTAAATAGCAGCTTAATGTAGGAATGTAGGAAAAGAGGCATTCCATCTTAATCCTCACGGGTGATAATTCATCTGCATTTTGATTCGCAAACGAAGACGAATGTAGATGTCTATGGGTCACAGCAACCACTTATGGTTCCACCTGATGGTTGGACTGTGTGCTCGTTTGCCACCCTATCCAAAAAAAAATCATTGTTTTTAGTAATTTTAAACAATCGGCTTTTAATTATTATTATTTTTTTGCTATTAAGGCTGTAATTTAATCTCTTGTTATGAAATTTTGTATTAAAAAAAAAAAACAGAACAATGCACATATTTTAAGAAATTTAAAAAAAAACCATTTGTTTTAATTAAATAATCATTATTACTTTTTTAAAGGTATAAATAGATATAAATAGCGTAAAAATGGTAAATTGTTCAAATGTTTTTGTAACCTTCTATAAAAGGTTTGTACAAAACTTACTACCTATATACGTCCCACTCCTGGCCACAGGCCTCTTATCATTTCTGAGAAGATTTTAGGGCAAGAAAATATTCACCATGCTACCCCCATGCATGTTGTATTCTTTAATATCTTTTTTCTTTCCCTCAGGATGTTTATCTTCGCCACTGAGGTGGTAAACCAGCACTTAAAACTGCTATTAACAATTTTATGGCGAGGTGGAAGTCGAACCTGGGTCGCTCGCGTACTTACGGCGTGCACTAATTCCCTGCGGTACCATTGCTCTAAATGTCTTAGTATGTACAGTACATTATACTTCGTAATGTATATTTAGTAAATACATACTGTATAAAGAATAAAAATTGTAAAGTTTGCAAAAAATGCAAGTGGGTATAAAGTAGTAAATACCTTAAAAGAATCAGGTATCTCTTCAATTGCTCTATGAATAAGTGTCCCATTAACATATAGGCAGTTGGCGGCTTCATCTTCTGGAACTGTAAGTGTTTGGTATGAGAATGTTGCCTCCCTCTCCATCCGTTTCAAAAGCTCCTTCGCCTCTTTACTTGCACCAACGCAGAGGATGTCTGGTCCAGCCACAGTTATATATTGCTTCAAATGTTGAGCGCCTTTGGACACCTGCAAAATAACACATTTTCTTTCATGAAGTATAAACAATTTCTAAATCCATGAATTGGCCAAATCAATTTGATCATCGCTAACCAATGATTTTAGACATCACTACTGTCACTACAATTATTAATGTGATTAAAAACTTTGGCCATTAATCGAAAGAGCAGACGTTCCAAAGCTTATAATGAATTTGGAGAAGGTATTTTCATCGCAATGAAATTATAACAATTAACCTTAAGCTTCTTAGAAAAGAAAAATTCGCTCTTCCCTAAGATACCGAGCACTGCGATTAAAACTAGATCCTTACATAGTCATGTGTTACCTTGCTTACTTCGTCAGTGAAAGCCTTTTTATTGGAAACAAGGCATTCCATCTTAATCCTCAGGGGTTACAACGCATCTGCATTTTTTTATTCCAGGACTGGCCAAGGAGCACAGATCATACTTTGATAAAGCACTACTACACAGTTATTCGTTAAATGTGTTGATACATATAATAATAACAAACTTATTTATTTTCAACCGTGATATAGGCAGCACTAAGAATTTTGACATAGTGGTTATTTATAAGTTTTATAAAAAATTATATTTAAAATTGGACACTACTGTTACTACCGTTATTTGGAGAGTTAGATTCTTTCACAGTGTTCGATGTATCTTTTTTGTGTTAATAATACAAATTTTACTAACATCGGTAGTATTAATACAAAAAACGGCCAGTTAGATAACATGTCAAAGCATTTATTAGTTATAGTATGAATAGGCATTGCATCTTTGATTACAAGGCATTTGTAACCATCTTTGTTTGAAGTTGCTTATAGCAGCAGCTACGTAACAGCTATGTGTGTTAGTTCTGCAGCATATGCTGTAAAAAAGATTAGAAGTCTAACCAGTGTTGAAACAGCTAGACTAGTTTACTTCAGCTACTTCTATAGCATAATGTCGTATGGTATTTTGCTATGGGGACACGCAGCTGACACTGAAATTATATTTGTTTTGCAGAAGAGGGCCATAAGAGCAATTTATGATTTAAAGCCTAAAGAGTCGCTGCGACAAAAATTTAAGGAAATTAATATATTAACTTTGGCCTCTCAATACATTTATGAAAATTTAATGTACGTACACAAAAATAAAAGTAGTTTTATAAAAATAAGTGATATTCATTCTGTAAATACTAGGAACAGACACAAGCTAGTAGTACCAGTTACTCGACTCCATCGAGTCAGTAATTCATTCTTGGGGCGATGTATACGCTTTTACAACAAAATTCCAGAAAATATAAAAAGTTTGGCCTGTTCAAAGTTCAAAAACTTTATTAAACTAAGTTTGTATAAAAAGGGTTATTATAATATTAAGGAATTTATGGATGATAATAACCCCTGGAAATGAGGTGATCGCTACCAAGCTATTTCTAATTTGTTGTGTTGTTAATTTGTGTAACATCATGATTGTAAGCTGTTATTTAAAAAAAAAAGTCCCGCTGGGTTTCTTGCTGGTTCTTCCCAGGACAGAGGTTTTTTCCGAACCAGTGGTAATCAAACAAAAGAATGACTTTCAATAAGTATTATTTATAATCTATATTGAATAAAAAAGTTTCTGTTTCTGTTTCTGTGGACAGTAAGTTTATTTGTCAATCCAATTTTCAATTTTAAATAATAAAACATAAATGTACCTAATAAATTATGCGGAAATAAAAAAAAAATAACCTTAATAGGCGTGCATGGAAACTCAGGAAACGCTTCTGCAACAGCACTTGCCCCTGCTTCATTACTAGTATCTGATATGCCGACAAAAAATTCGCGACCTGAAATAAATGTCAATACGAATTTAAAAATATATTTATTAGACACAGTAACTAACACTAAACATGCTCACTCAACGAAAATATACGAGTTATATTTCTACAGTTTGTTTCAATAGTAACATAGATGTTCAGATTTTAATCTCAAGTTAAATGTACTTCTGGGTGGGCCTACACATAATCGTAAGCAACACACTGGAAACTATGTAACACGCTGGAACTCTGTAAATGCAAGACTATATTGTTCTAAAACTTATTAAAAACCTTACCATATTTACAAGTACAAATAATATTATTATAAATATTGGCATTAATTCTTACTTGTTTTCGTTCGGACTCATACTCAAATTGTAACGTTTTATTAAACCTAAAAAGGAACTTTTTTCCCAAATTAATATTAGAAATTTTAAAGTTATATCAAAATAGGGAATATGACGAGACAAAAGTTTTTTTTAGTGACATCGCTAGAAACTATATTCTCGAGCACTTCTTTTCAATATTTTTATCAGAGTTTTCAATGGTTCTTCAAGGAAAATTTTCAGCTAATTTCCTTCTATAAACATGTTAGCTCTAGTGCATGAAGTACGTTTTTCTTGCTCGTTATTATAAATTGGTTTCAGTGGTAACTTTCTATAAAATCATTTCTGTCGTATTAAATCAAGTAATTGTTTGTTTCTCTTTATAGATCTTTGTAGTTTTTAGAGTATGTTAAGATTTATTTGGGGTGCTTCTATGGCAACAGAAGAGAAGACACGATTATAATTACATAATATACACGTTGGTTTTGGGCTCTACCGCAGTCGGTTAAAGGCAATGTGAACTAAGCCTAATGATATCCAGTGTGATATGTAACACAACATAACACACCAGACCGAACACGCGGGAAGATTCTTGTGTCTATATGATTAAAGTAGCCACAAATTCAAAAATATTTTACCAAGAAAGCCATAAAACACTACTTCAACAGATATTTATTAATTACATCTGTTGAACCTTAGATTATTTAGAGAGTAACTAATCTAAGCTGTTGAACGTATTTTCACTAGAAAATTATGAGAGACATTTGTCAAATTTGTGATTTCGCAAGAAATTGTAAGATTTTGCGAGAATTTCAGACAAAATACTATAAATTATTTCCTATTCTAGCAATGAAGGTTAAAAGAAATAACAATAAAGCGACAGCCCTGGCATATTTAAGTTTTGTATGGAGCAAAAAAAAAAGGTTAATTTTTTTTTATAGAATAAGGGGCAAACGAGCTTGCGGCTCACCTGATGGTAAGTGACTACCGCCGCCCATGAACAACCGCAACACCAAGGGAATTGCAGATGCGTTGCCGGCCTTTTAGAAAGGTGTAAGCTCTTTTCTTGAAGGTTCCTAAGTCGTATCGGTTCGGAAAATTCGCTGGTGGTAATTGATTCCACAAAGAAGTTGTGCGAGGGAGAAAACTTCTTCTAAATCGCACAGTGGTGGACCGCCAATCATCCAGATGGTACGGATGGTAACGCGATTTTTGTCGCGATGTGCGATGGTGAAATTGAGCGGCTGGAATTAGTCCGAACAATTCCTCAGAGCACTCCCCGTGATAGATGCGATAAAATACGCAAAGAGATGCAACATCTCTACGCAGTGCCAGTGTATCGAGCTGATCGGAAAGAACTCGGTCGTCGACGATTCGAATCGCTCTGCGCTGGATGCGGTCAAGTGGAAGGAGCTGGCACTGGGGTGCCCCGGCCCAGAGATGAGAACAGTATTCCATGTGCGGCCGAACTTGCGCTTTGTAAAGTTGCAAGCGATGTGCCGGCATGAAATACTGTCTCGCTCTGCTGAGCACGCCAAGCTTTTTAGAGGCCAATTTGGCCTTCCCTTCCAAGTGACCACGAAACTGCACGCTATTCGATATGTCGACGCCAAGGATTCCGATACTGGCTGAGGCAGCAAGGGGAGTGCCTTGAAACTGAGGAGATACGACAAAGGGGTTCTTTTTAGCGGTAAACGCGCAAACTTGTGTCTTCTGGGGATTGAACTGGACTAGATTTAGTCGGCCCCAATCCGAGACTTTGTTAAGCAAAGACTCGACTTCAGACACAAGTTTGTCCCGGTACTCGGCGACGTTTTCCCGAGAAATATTGGCACGGCCGGTATATAAGGCATCTCCAGTGCTGTCGTCTGCATAGCAATGAATGCTACCAGTTAGCAACATGTCATTGATATGCAGGAGAAACAGCGTTGGTGATAGCACGCAGCCTTGTGGAACACCAGCGTTGATAGGCTTGTAATCAGAGCATGCACCGTCTACTACGACCTTGATGCTCCGATCAGCAAGGAAACTGGTAATCCATTTGCACAATTTCTCGGGAAGCCCATAGGAAGGAAGCTTCGAAAGAAGCGCCTTGTGCCAGACCCGATCGAAGGCCTTCGCTATGTCCAAACTAACGGCCAATGCCTCCCCCTTGGACTCTACTGCCTCCGCCCATCTATGAGTTAAGTAAACTAGAAGATCACCCGCTGATCGACCCCGACGAAAACCGTACTGACGGTCACTGATCAGCTGGTGATCTTCAAGGTACCTCATGAGCTGGCAGTTTATAATGGATTCCATTATTTTGGAGAACAAGGAGGTGATGGCGATAGGCCTGTAGTTGGACGGGTCTGAGCGGTCGCCTTTTTTAGGGATCGGGTGGACCAAAGCTGTCTTCCATGAATCGGGACTACGCCTTGGGAGTAGGAGTACCGGAAAAGACGCGTTAAAACCGGTGCCAACTCCGGAGCACACGTCTTCAGCACAATGGGAGGGACTCCATCGGGCCCACTCGACTTGTTGACGTCCAGGGAGAAGAGTGCTTTGCAAACCGAGCGCTGTGTAAATCGCACATCCGGCATGGAGCACTCACATCGCGGGATGGTCGGCGGTGTGTTCCCCCCGTCATCTAGAGTCGAGTTAGACGCAAAAAGAGAGCACAACAGATCGGCTTTCTCTTTTGCGGCATGGGCCAGTGAGTCGTCCTCTCTGTGCAGAGATGGAAGGGATGGCTGACAGCAGTTCCCTTGGACAGCCTTGGCGAGAGACCAGAATGCACGGGTTCCCGAAGGAAGACGAACTAGCTTCTCGCCAATTCTGCCGATGTGCTCAGACCTTGCCTTGGCAATGACGCTTTTGAAGGACCTGGAGGCGGAATTATACTTCTTTTTAAGTGCGCTGGTGTTTAAATCCCGAGACGTTGATGCATCAGCCCAGGCCCGGTAGCACTCCTGCTTATAGCGTGATGCTATTTTACAGGAGCGACCAAACCATGGCTGGGATCTGCCTCCGATGGGCACCACAGAGGATGGAATAAAAAGTTCCATACCCTGAAGTACCACATCAGCAACAGAATCGACAACAACGCTGGGATCTTCCGGCGAGAAGCAAACCCGCCCCCAAGGGTAGGATGCAAAAAAAGACTGCATCCCGTCCCAATCAGCTGACCTATAGTGCCAAACACGGCGGCAAGCTGCAGATCGCAACTGAGATTGGAGCGTGAGTGGCACCGTGCTCCGGATCAGACAATGGTCCGAAGAGCCCAGAGGGGCATCGACGGAGATCTGATATCCGTCCGGATGGGAGGTCAGCAGAAGGTCCAACAGGGAAGGTACATGGTCTTCCACATCTGGGATCCGCGTAGGCGAAGTAACCAGCTGTGTTAGACCATATGCCAAAGCAAAGTCGTACACAGATCTACCCGCATGATCGGTTAAACGAGAACCAAGCCATTCAGCGTGGTGGGCGTTGAAATCACCGAGTATCACGATCTCTGCGGATGGGACCTGTTGTAGCACGGAGTCTGCAGCCATTTGGACGTGGTCGATGAGTCGGTCCGTGTCGGCATTACCGCTATGGGACCTATAGAGGCACCCGTAGACGCGGGGATGGTCGTCACTGTCTACGCGCAGCCATAGGATGGACAGGTCCGTACCTTCAAGGCTGCCGAGGCGTCGAAAACAGATGTCCTCTCTGACGTATACACAAACTCCAGCCCGGGGCACAAAGGAGTGTTCCAATTTGTATCCCGGGTAGGAGAGATATGAAGTATCAGCCGGAGAGGACACCTGAGTCTCGGTTAAAAAGAGCAAGGCCGGCTTCGCCGTCTCTAGATGGTAATGGACAGCGTTAAGGTTGGAATGAAGTCCCCTGATGTTGCAAGAATTCACGGATAGCGTGGCAGGGGTCGCCTTGGTTGTATTGCTTGCCCCGAGCAGCATTAGTCACGAGCGGAATTTTGCCCCCCCCCCCCCCCCCCAGAATACGCGGGGCAGCCTGAGCACCCACGCTCAGGAGTGAAGTAGTTTGGTCGTGGATGCTCAGCGAGGGATTTTCCAGGGGTGCTGGTACCCTCCTGGGGTAGTCTTGTATTTAATTCCACTACCATGTTGATGGGGGGGGGGGGGGGGGGAATTGGGCCTCAGGCCACCTGCACTCACCAAGCGCAACGCAGAGGTAAACCTCTACTTCACGCTGGTATTCTGTGAGGTCGTGGTACCTACCACCCCGGTTCGAGCTGGCCCATCCGTGCGACAGCAAAAGCTACCGCTTAGCTCTACCACTGTTAAACTTGTTTTATAAACCAAAATATTGCGTAAATTGAAGATTTGTGAATTCCATTTGGAACTATCTTTTTTTGATAAAAAAAAATGAAGATTTTAATGCATCAAATAAAATTCTACGAAATAAAACTTAAAAAAATACTAAAATTTAGGGGTAAACAGGTGGGCGCGATTTTTTTTCAAAAGGTACATTTTTTCAGCCCCACCCACTTAGATATTTCTCATATAACTGCAAATCAACTGTTGTAACTGCCGAGTATTGGTAGCGTACGATAATCCACTGCCCCATTCTGTGGGGGTCGTAACAAATATACTTGTATTATCTGTTGTGTAGTGGCGGTTAAGAATATCCACTACCCCATATCTTCCCGTGGGTGTCGTAAAAGGCGACAAAGGGAAACAGGCAGGCGATGGGCAGCAACATGACGATATGGATGACAAGCTCGTGGAAACTGTCCATGCGGTTGGAGCTAAGTTCTGCAAGACCTGCCGCAGAAGAACACAAAAACTCTCCGATCACACTCTTAATCTCATGGCTGTTAGACGGGAGATGAAGCTACACTCTTCAACAGATTTAACAGCATACAGGCAACTGAACAGACAGATCTCCCAATGCATGCGACGGAACTTACGCAACTTCAATACAGCTTGTATTGAAAGAAGCGATCGAGCGGAACCAAGGCTCCAAAGTCTTTGCCAGAGATCTGTCTGCCAGAAAGAGCCAACTGTCAAAGCTGAAGACCGAGTGTGGCAGCATCGTTTCCGGGACACCTGAGATTTTGAGTGAGATTGAGAGGTTCTATGGGCAGCTGTACACGTCATCATTGGAGCCACACGCAAGTATGAGTAACGATCCAAGAGCGAGTCTTATCCGACACTATTCCGAAGATATCCTGGACGTCAATCTGAGCGAGATTAGAATGGCTCTCCAGCACCTTAAAAACGGCAAGTCTCCGGTTGAGGATGGAATTACAGCGGAGCTTCTGAAAGCGGGTGGAAAACCGGTACTTGAAGTCCTTCAGAAGCTCTTTAATTCCGTCCTCCATGGTGGCATTACACCGGAAGTGTGGAGCAGAAGTGCGGTGGTCTTGTTCTTCAAGAAAGGCGACAACGCTCTCTTGAAGAACTACAAACCGATTTCCCGTCTGAGCCGCGTCTACGTGCTGTTTTCGAGAGTCATTACGAATCGTCTCGCGCGCAGAATTGACGACTTCCAGCCTCCCGAACAAGCCGGTTTCCGAAAGGGCTTTAGCACCATAGACCACATACATACCCTTCGGCAAATTGTACAGAAGTCCGAAGAGTACAATTTGCCACTAGCGTATGAGGACTATGAGAAAGCTTTTGATTCCGTCGAAATTTGGGCGGTGCTGCAGTCCCTTCAGCGGTGTCAAGTTGACTGTCGGTATATCGAAGTGCTGAAGTGGTTTGTACAGTAGAGCTACGATGGCTATCCGAGTACGAAACCTGGATAGATTTCGTACTCTGATTCTGTACTCGGTACTGCAGAGAGGTGTAAGACAGGGTGACGTTATATCCCCGAAACTCTTCACCGCTGCATTGGAAGACGTTTTCGAGCTACTGGACTCAATGACCTCAATAGGGTCTCCCACTGTCTCTCTTAAGATGAACATGGACAAAACAAAGGTGGTAGTCCGGAAAATTAAGTCGGACTATTTGTCCCAGGTGAACATACTCGTCAACAACTTCGAGCTTAGTGCGCCCAACAACTACCGGCATCGGTGTGACATGGACGTTAAACATGATTTTTGTTTTGTCCATGTTCATCTTAAGAGAGACAGTGGGAGACCCTATTGAGGTCATTGAGCACAATGCTTAGGTCCTCCAGCGATTCTGCCATAATGACTATATCGTCGGCAAATCGAAGGTGAGTGATCTCGCCATTGATGTTAATATTAAGTCCAACTTCGACCGAGAGGTCAATCGACGGATTCAACTCGGCTGGGCAGTGTTCGGAAAACTACGACACATCTTCTCGTTAGACATACCTCAAAACCTAAAAACGAAATTGTACAACCAGTGCGTGATGCCAGTGATGACTTACAGATCTGAGACGTGGTCCTTCACTGCTGGCCGTATGAGGACGCTCAAGGTCGCTCAGCGAGCTATGGAGAGGGCTATGCTCGAGGTGTCTCTGCGTGATAAACTTAGAAATGAGGATATCCGCAGTAGAACCAGAGTAACCGACATAGCCCAACGGATTAGTAAGCTCAAGTGGCAGTTTGCCGGCCATATAGCTCGATGAACCAACAACCGATGGGTAAGAAATGTTCTCGAGTGGCAGGCAGCCTCGTATCGGTAGACGAAGTGTAGGGCCCTCCCCCCCCTAGATGGAGTGACGACCTGGTGAGACATGCAGGAAGTCGATGGATGCAGGTGGCTCAGGACCGAGCTTTGTGGCATTCCTTAGGGGAGGCCTATGTTCAGCAGTGGACTTGTGAAGGGCTGTAATGATGATGAGGATGATGATGATATGTTGTACTTTTCGGCCTTCTGTACAATTTGCCGAAGAGTATGTATGTGGTCTTTGGTGCTAAAGCCTTTTCGGAAACCCGCTTGTTCGGGAGGCTCTAAGTCGTCGAGTTGCTTGCGAGACGATTCGTAATGATTCGAAAACAGCACATAGCGGCTTAGAAGGGAAATCAGTCTGTAGTTCTTCAAGAGAGCATTGTTGCCTTTCTTAAAGAACAAGACCACCGCACTTCTGCTATATGCCTCCGGAGTAGTGATACCATAGAGGACGGAATTAAGGAGCTTCTGAAGGACTTTAAGTACCGGGTTTCTACCCGCTTTCATAAGCTTCGCTGTAATTCCATCTCCACCCGGGGACTTGCCGTTTTAAGGCGCTGGAGAGCCATTCCAATCTCGCTCAGACTGACGTCCGGGATATCATCGGAATAGTGTCGAATAAGACTTACAGCTGCCCATAGAACCTCTCAATCTCACTCAACATCTCAGGTGTCCTAGAAACGATGCTGCCACATTCGGTCTTCTGCTTCGGCAGTTGGCTCTTTCTGGCAGACGGATCTCTGGCAAAAATTTTGGAGCCCTGGTTCCGCTCGATCGTTTTTTACGCAACTTCAATATGTGCTGTATTGAAGTTGCGTAAGTTCTGTTGCATGCATTTAGAGATATGTCTGTTCAATTGCCTGTATGCTATCATTGGCTATAATGATAATCATCATGAATCTGATATATTATAATAAATAAAGTTGTACAAGGCATTCATAGCATTGCATTGAATAGGAGTAAGGTCTAAACAATATCAACATGAATGTTTTACTCAGTTGTGTAAAGAATACATTCTACATTAGCTGATTTCATATAAATCATTAAAACTTTATAATTTTAATATTTTCTTTATAAAAACAAATTTAAACTAGGCAAAAATTTCTAGTTATTTTCTTCTTAGTTTGTTCTTAAATTATGATACAGCTTAATTTGTAATATTAAGACGTTTTAGTAAACATGTTTTACTGTTATTTGCTACACACAGATAACTACTATGTTTAAAGACATAGAAAAATGTATACACCTAGATTTACCTGTGAATAATACATCAGAACCAATAAGTTTAGCATCTGGATCCGTCATCTCAATTACCGTTTGGCCAAGATCTTTTTGCATAACATCCTTAACTATCTTCATCTGTAAAATAATTATGGAGTTATGAAAACCAATTTAATAAAAACATACTTATATAAAACAAGTTTTTTTTATAGGATAGGGTGACAAACGAGCACACAGTCCACCTGATGGTAAGTGGTTGCTGTGACCCATAGACATCTACATTTTATCCTCAATAAAGAATAAAAAGGCAGATGCATCGTCACCCGTGAGGACTAAGATGGAATGCCTCTTTTCCAGTAAAATTGGTCTCCGGTTCTCTACACTCATCATACGAAACACAGCAGTGTCTAGCTGCCATTTTACACTGGTATTCTGTGAGAGCGTGGTCCTTCCCCGGTCGAGCCGACCAATTCATGCTACAACTATACTACTAATATAGCTAAATATATAATATAGTAAAATAGCAGCTTAACACTGCTGTGTTTCGTATGGTGAGTGTAGAGAACCGGAGACCCTTTTTACTGGAAAAGAGGCATTCCATCTTAGTCCTCACGGGTGACAACGCATCTGCATTTTCAGATTCGCAAATGAGGATAGATGTAGATGCCTAAGGGCCAAAGCAACCACTTACCATCAGGTGGACTGTGTGCTCGTTTGTCACCCTATTCTATAAAAAAAGCATTGTCTGTGACCTCACACAGGCAGCACTACGAATATAGGAAAGATGGTACATGGACTTAAATCCAGACAAAACCGAAATGGTCATGTTCAACCATAAATATGTGCATCAGCACAGAGTTAAGAGATTACTTCTGTCACCGGTGATAAAATATCTAGGCATTATTTTAAACTGTAAATTTAATTGGTCTAGACACATACCAACCTAGTCTAGTCACAATAAAAAAGAAACTTCAAAGATGCTGACTAACAGTCATGGCCATCTCAGATGCCATGAGACAATTCCTACTGCAGCTCTTTGAGCCATGTTGAACCTGACACTGTTGCATCTTTTCATCCAGCAAGAGGTCACGCTGTTAGCTAATAGAATTACAAGTCTTAGCTTATGTAAAAAGTAAAAATTTGGTTAAATTTTGCAAGCAAAGAACAACATGATCCCTATATTATTTGTTTTTGGACATACTGGGGTTGCTCCCCGGGACCTTTGGCGACATCAAAAAGTTATTAAGATTCCTCGTAGGAGCTAGGATGGCTCGAATAATATTAATTTCCGTCTAAACGCAAAACACGCGCCAAGTCGTGGAGTTGCGTAAACCAGTCAATGTAATGCAATGACATCATAATGTGAAATTATTTATTTCTTTTTAGTTCTTTGAAATTAGCTTTTTAGTAAAATTTTACTTTTTAATGGAAAATTTTGCTGAAATGGTTAATGCATAATATGAAAGAAACATAGAAACATTTGACCTTGAAACTATCTTTGTTTTGCAAAAGAGAGCCATAAAAGCAATTTATAACCTAGGTCTGAAGGAATCCCTTGGAGAAAAATTCAAAGAAATAAATATATTAACTTTGGCCTATTAATATATTTACGAGAATTTAATGTATGTGCACAAAAACAAAAATTGTTTTATTATAAATATTGATGTACATTCTGCAAATACTAAGAACAAGCACAAGTTAGTTATATAAGTTACTTGACTTATTATACTACTAAAAAGTATGTACTGATAATAATCCCTGAGGATAAGGTGATCGCTACCATGCTGTTTCTAAATGTTTTCATATCAATTGTATAAAATATTATATTGTTAATTGTGCTTTTAAAAAAAAAGTCCCGCTTTAAAAAAGTCTTTCTGGTTCTTACCAGGACAGAGGTTTTTTTGGTAATTTTACTATAAGTAATTTATATGGAATAAAAGTGATTGTATTCTATTCTATAGCTTACGTCACTTGCTGCCTTAATTGAAAAGTTAAGATTTCCTTTTTATACCAACAAAAATTGGAAAGTCAGAAGAAAGCAGAGTTAAAACCAAAATTTGAAATCAGGTTTCTTATATTTTTGCAAATACCATTAAACCACGAATAAAATTATAATAGATTTTTCATTATGTACTATAACGTTACAACAAGCCTTTTTAGCAACAAGCTTCAGGTCCCAAGATTATGTTACACTAATTGATTGAAACTAGCCTTAGTAAAGGGTGTCCCTGCTGTATAATATGTTAGAGATATGACAAGATAGACTATATTTTGCAGCAGAACATCTTCTATGACAAAATATCAACTAAAAATCTATCTCAATATTCCTCTACAAGATTCGTAAGTTTATAAGCCTAATTGTGAATGCTGTGTCAATCATACATAGGGCAAACAACAAATACCTACAATAAATAGCTATGTAAAAGAATCCATCAATTACTAAATTCATTGCATTGCGCAGATCACAAAGCCTTGCAAAACAATATGAATTCCTTTTTATCCTCTTCCAAAATCCACCACCACTTAAAAATGTGGAAATTTAAAATTAAATGCAAATAATCTGAGAAGAATCTTAAAATAAGTAAGAGATAAAAAAATTGGTATGTAAATACTTGTATTAAAAAGTAAATTAGCTGCTTAGTTAGAGTACACTAGTTTTTATGTGTTAGGGCCACACTAAATCTATACACAGCTGCAGCATGAATGGGTTGACTCGAACGGTGTAAGGACCACACTCATACAGAATACCAGCTTGAAACAGCAGGATAATACTGCTGTGTTTCATATAGTCAGTGTAGAGAATTGTACAACTTTTTACTGGTAATGAGGCATTCCATCTTCGTCCTCGGGGGTGACAATCTAATATTGATAATAGATATAGATATCTATGGTCAACAGCGTGCACTTAACATCAGTTGGACTATGTGCTTGATTGTTATATGCATCTACTTCTTGTATGTCTTACCAGACCTTCGTTCTCTCTAGTGGGAGACCACCCTACTCTCTATTTACCAGAAAAATTGTTTAAAAGTATAATGCTGCTCACAATTTTTTTTTACCTACAGTCTGATGCTGCAATAACTTCAAATAAAATTGTAACACAAGCCTTCAACTGAATCTATTTCGTTAAAAGTCTCTTTTAAACATCCAATCTCCTTTTCAGTTATAAAATTAACTGGCTAATAATTATTTACAGAGATATCAAGTTTATACAAAACTATATCATCATTATTACATATTTTGATGTGACTATAATAGTAGTAAGGTCATGGAAACAGGTCTAGGATTCCATTAATTAATTCAGGTCCCTCTCCTACTTTTAGGTCAAATGGAGGTTAAAGTAATTAAAATGTAATGTAGTGCTCGTAACACAACTTGCAAGTGTCATTTATATATCTGCAACATTGTATATATACAATGTTTTTTTGTATTAATTATTTAGAAACACCCACATAACATGCTTTTTTCAGATGAAAAAAATTAAATAATACCTGCTTTCACCGACTAGAACTTAAACCTGCAGATCTATGATATCAGTCTGCAGGCAAGCAAACTTTTTTTTTACTATTATCGTAAAAACTATGTACCATAATATGGGAAAATGTTAAAAACAAAAACCAAATACCTATTAATTTTACGTGAAAACAGTCTCACCGCCTTATTAGGTCAAGCATTCTAAAATTCTACATTCTGAAATACTCCAGAGTTATGCACAAATGTTTCCGTTATTTCAATTCTGGAACTGAGTACTAATATCGTTTTCCCTATGTTTAAACATATTACTAAATTGATTGATATTTTGATCTTTCTGAATGCACCTAATTTAATGCTTGTGAACATTTCTGTTAAAATTTATGTTTATTGTATGTTTTTGATTCATATACTATGAATCGTTTTACTTTAATCATAGAAAATTTATCTGTTTAAAATAGCTCATTAGTAACAACTAATAACAACATTTTTGTTTAAGAGATCAAAAATCAGGTAATTTGATGAAAATATTAAATCTTCTTTGATTTTGTAACACAAATCTTTTTCTGTTGTTGGAAACCAGAAACCATTAGATAGTTGCTAATTCCAGAACAAGTTCCAATTTGTCCAAATTCCGGATTAAGATATCTAATGTTGAAAGAGTTCCAAAACCTTTCTCTTTAAAATTCATAATTTTGTTGTAAAATGGTTTCATAATCATAAACACGCCTGTCACCCAGAGGGGTAGGCATAGACTACGGACTTACAATAGGCACGATCGTAACAAACCTCTTTTGTCTCCTATACATCCATATACCGATTGGGGGAGGAAGCTGGTCGCTTCCGTAGGAATTACTTGAATCCTGATTCCCTACACGTATCCCCTGGGTAGTGCTAAACGAGAAGCACTACATACTGGTGGTAGGTTGGTCCTCTACTTGTGAGAGGCCCGGCCGAGGGTTAGTTACCACCCATCTGGCAAAGACATACCGCCAAATGATGCAAATCGTGTTCCAGTATGATTTTAGGTGAAACCCTTTTCTTAGGGAGAATGAAGAATGAAGAATCTGGACAGTTAAGTTGCGCATACCAACCGGTTGCGACGCGACCGTTTCTTAGGGTCAGGTGCCTGGTTATGGAGGTTAGCGGGATCCGAAGCACGGTTGTACCGCAGGCCGACCGTAGCGAGTTGGAGGCCCAATTAATGAGCCAGCCACTCATGAAAGGCTGCCCCGCCATCTTACGAAAAATCCTGGGATGGCTCCACCATGCCGGTTGGCGACTGGAGGAGTGGACCTGGTGGCGATTTCCACGGGGGTTCGGGCGTCCCTGCGATCTCCATGCTAGGTACCATCGATGCTGTGACTAGGCTTGCCAACCGTCCCGGATTTTCGGGGACGTCCCGCTTCTGTGTCAATTCTGGGCCGTCCCGCCGTGACCCCATGCGGGACGCCCAGAATTGACTCGTAAATCAGTGATTTTGTCTCGGAAATCAGTGATTATATAATATTAGTCTCTACTACAATAAATTGTTACACATTATAAAATTTTTTTCTAACCAATTTGTATGTGGTGTGTTGCGTCCCGCGTAATATATCCAAGTCCCGGATGTTGAGCTGGGTAATCCCGGAAATGCCTTTATTGGAGTTGACAAGCCTAGCTGTGAC